CTTTCAAGGCCAGTTAATTATCAAAATGATATATTTGTTGTTACATTATTTTTCTGAGTTCTAGAAACAAAAATATGGAGAAGGGGTATGACTTAAATAGCAGTTAGGTTGTGTCTGCTTTGCAACAAGATGTCAGACAATCAAGAAATACAGCCAGATAGCTTTAGTCCGCTAGCTTGAGTGGATGCTATGCATCCACTGTGGGATGTATGGTACTGCATGCTTTATAACCTCCGTGAGAGGTGAACACGGAGCCAGTGCCTCTGCATGACAGAGATCAAAGCAAGCACCAGGAATGTGGGATTTCAGATAATGTCTTACCTGCAGTGCTACTTGGCTGAAAGAAGGATATCTGCCAAAGTCCATCCCTGCCATGAAGGACAGAATCTCCTTTGAGTGTAAAAACACACCTTTACCTTTTCATTTTAAAAATCACTACCCCCACTATCCCTTCCCTGTGATTTAACTCACATCTTGCATTTCGCTCTCAGCTCAGTCTCATTGCATCCCTGGACAATAATTGCTATGAACAGACCATCCTTACATTCAGGGCGGTGGGACAACAAGCTGTAGGGGCAGGAAAACTAGACAAGAGGATTAGGGAGCTTCACTTGCTCCCTAATCTGACGTTCCTTCTGACACAAGTGGTGACAAGGAGTATAACAGTGGCAATCAAGGCAAGTGTAGGCAGGAAGGAGCTCAGCACCATGAGATTCTAGAGAGTCCTGCAGGGAAAAGCATGCTATCTCCATTACTATTTACAGCACCAGAGGTGACTAGGTTAATTTGGGAGGGGATTTTGTGTGTTTGAAAATGGATTATTGTTCCAGGATAAAAATTCAGCATGCAAATATTACCCCTGCTGTCTCTAAACAAGTGTGGTTCCATGAGGTCAGTACTGATCTACAGCCACAGAGGATCCATCTCAGCTGCATTTTCTTTGGCACTTGGCAAGCCTGGGGAATGCTTGGGAGCTTGAATTCTCTTCCTGCAGTCACTTGCAATGCTACCAGAGTTCAAAGGCATCCCTCATCAGGATGCAGTAGCCCTTCTCATGGTCTGTCTTTGATCAGGATCGCTAATAGGGTCATCTTTGATCAGGCCTGGTAATAACTCTCATCTGACATGCTATGTTGTTTAGCTGGGATTGATCTTAGGCAGATAGTTGTCCCTTTTTAACCAGGTAGAAAGGAAGAACACAGTCAAACTGAGCATCTTCAGTAGAGGCCTCACCTAGTGCTCCTGAAACTGATAGGAACCTTCTACAGCTTATCATGGGACTTGGGGAGGTTGGACTGAACTCTGCAGGGGAGAAGGGGAAGCCTGTTTGTGTGTGTGTGTGCATGCACATGCTTCAGTTGTTTGTCACACCACTCCTCAAATCCGGCAGTGCAGCCATAATGCTATACTTAGAGTCTCTGAGTCTTTGTTTTTTACCTCCAATTCTTATTGCTGTCATCTGTGGGGTTGGCAACATTCCCCTTCTTAGTGGGAAATGAAATGGTGTCTAAATCTGCATCCTGAGTCCAATTTTCCCCTTGAAAAAAATGAAGAACAGGTGATTTTTCCACATCAATCCATCCCTAGTGACTTTTTCTCATGATAAAAAATCCTGGTTTGTGCATTTGTAGAATGGTCCAGAGTTACTGCTTGCTTATTAGCTATGAAATTGTGGAGTTGCACAAGAATATTCATCCTGTGCTATTTACCAGTAGAAGAAGATTTATTAATGCAGCTGGAATCACTGGATTTTGATCAACCAGTTCCTCAGGAAAGAGCTGGGAGTTCTGTTTAGGTTGTTGGATAGTACCTGTTATCAGTGTATCTAGATGAAAACATCAAGTGTAGGCCCAGCCAGAGCCAGAAGTAAGTAGCTAGAAGGACAAGAACAGACATACTGTGATTCCAGCTTTCTTCCCTTAGGGTTGTGGTCCTCTGGTGTTTTTTCATTCTTGCAAAATATTTTGATACTTGATTGCATGATGCCTTGGAAAACCTACTTACTCAATGGTTATATCATGTGCAGAGGGACAAAGGAGAGTTAGTTTCTGCTTTTCTTGCAAGTTTGGGTCCTGTGACAGATCAAAAGGAAAGGACAGCTCCTGCAGGAGTCAAGTTTTGTAGAAGGTATAGGTCAGCCATGAGAATTCATACCATTTTAGAGAATGATATGAAAACTGAATTGCTCATTTGGGCACTTGAATACTGTTAGAAAGGAAGCATCTTAGAAAAAAGATGCATCATGTGATTCCCATGCATATTTTTCAGTCATGTCAGAAAAATCAAAGAATAGCTTCCACTACGTATCTTCTGGTTTTCTGCCTCCTGCACTGGCTAAAAGAAGGAAAGGAAATAAAGTGTTAAAACAAATACAGGAGTTTACTAATGAGCAGTGGCAAAGAGATGAACTCAGGCAGAAATTCAAGCAAAAACTGAGATTGCTTGGAGCCTGTTTCATCTGTTGATGCGAATGTAAAATTTCATTAGTCAATGAAGCCAAGCCACACTCCCCCCACCAGCTGGCTGCAATTTGTTTATACTATTAGTATGTATCAAAAATCTGTTTTTAAAAAAAGAAATTTCCAGGTTCTGAAGAGAGCTCTTTAACATTGACCTGTAATCTTTCTTGTCAAGTGGTAAGAAATTGCTGACTTTTAGAAGATCATTAATTCTTTGATTAACTCACCCCAAACTTCCAGCATGATCCTATTCAGTAGTTTGTTTCTCCCCTGGAAATGGCTCTCAAGATGATATTCTCCTGAGTCATTAAGTTGGAGCTTTTTCAGCCACACTCTAATCATTTTCCATGAGAAGTCATTCATCATTTCAGTCCTTCCTACTTTAATGATACTTTGATCAGAGTTACCTCTGATAATAGGTTGACATCTAATTTGGGACACCATCTTGCACCAAATAAAATGTTAAAGTTTCCTGATTTGGCTATCACAGAATAGGAGCAATGGAGGCACAAGGAGTTCCTTTTTTTTTTGAAAATAGCCTTACTGATTGTAAAGAAAATAGAGTGGTGAATCATTAGAGGGAGAAAAGAGGAAAAAGCAATCCCCATAGTGGTGTACATCTCACCCAACAAAGGACAGAGCTAGCATCAGCACAAAGGGAACTTGCAGAAGACAATGAAATAACCAGCCCCAGTCTGAAGATGGTGGTCACTGGAGATGATGTTGGGGTGGCAAACGAGAAATTTGGATTACTGCTGCCCTTTCTGAACATGGTATTGGGTTCCAGGGCTGTTATTGCTGTCAAATTCCCCAGGTGCTGGGACATGAAGCCACCTCAGCATATTTCTTATGCCTTGTACATGTGTTCCATGTTTAAGATGGTGGTGTTCCATCTCATGAGTCTTCTACATGAGTTATCAAAGCTTTTCTGTGTGAAAGGTTTCTGTGACTGTAAAACACTTTTAACAGAATGGAAAACTTCGTGCAAAAGCGAGTATTGTTTTTCAGTTTTCATCAACTTACTTGAAATATTTCTGTCCCAAACCCATTTATTTTTGATTCATACAATCCTACAAAACTGTATTCATGGTTTTTGATGGTAGTCTGTAAAATATTATTTTCTATTTTTTTCCTTGGAAACTTTTTGATTTCATGCGGCAAAAATAATTTCCTGGCCACTTCTGCCTCTAGATACATATAGGTACATATTGTGGTTCTATATTGAGCTATGTAATAGGGTTTTTCCCTGTCCTTGATAACCTCTAGTGGATCTCTGTGTCTAGATACACCGTGTTTTGCTATGAAACAAAAATGGAAATGACACATCATTCCTGATTTATTTTGGCTGTCTCCTACCCAGTGCACTGTTGACCTCAGCTCACCCTCAAGTGAAACCACCGTCTGTATTCTTTGCAGCGGAATATTCTTCAGATCACCCCACGCTGATATGTGCCAGGATTCTCTCTTCAAAGTGCTGTCACGATCACAGAAAACCAGCCACAGCCTAAGTCTATCAGGTCAACTGAACGATGCAGGGCACGGTGAAGGTTAATCCTTTCTTTTAAAGGGGAACTCAAGGCTAAGACTAGACAAGATTTTTCTGACAGCTCCTTGCACCAGAATTTCTTCTCATGTAAATTCTTGTGCACATCAGGATGAGCAGTTAGCTCTGAAGGACTCTCCCTCTGTACGCAGAAACACTTGTGTGTCCTCTCCTGCCATGCATGATCCTTCCAAAGAAAGAAGAAAATAATGCTACAACTAGGCACAGCTTAGTATGCCAGTTTTTCTTACATTATACCACTAGGACTTTCATGCTGGACCTGTGAGAAGAGTAATTTAGTTTGCCTAAATAAACATCTATGCTTAGCCTTAGTGCCACTACCCTTTTTCCGTTGTTATTCCTATTGTTCCTCTCTGTGGACTCAGTATTTATTTGCAGCAGCTAGCCTGTCTTATGACCCTGCTCACAATACCTGATCCATGATGTATCAGGAGAGAGCAACAAACACAGATTGTCCTCCCCATATGCAAGGTGATTTCAGACTGAGAACTTTGCAATAGTGGGAGAGAAAGGTCTCAGAAGGGCAAAGATTGCCAAATGTCCCACCATGAATTTCAGTTTCTGGACAAAATACAAAACTACTATAAACAAAAATGAGAACCCAAAAGCTTGTATAATTAAAATAAGCAAATTTCAGGTTGAACGTTTCCTGTCCTCATTGATTTCTGGGAATCTCATTCTGCGCCTGGCTATAGATGGCCTGAATAAAAAGGGTTCAAGCAAATAACATTGTGCAAAGCATGCAAGAGCACAGAGAGCATCCTGTTCCTAGGAGAAATGAGGAGTCTCTGAGCCTTACCTGGTAGTGCCAGCAGGAGCAGCAGGGCTGGAAATCCCCCCATCCTGAAGCAGTAATTGTTTTAGGGCACAGAGAAAGAAATGTATCCCAGAGCTTCTTTATCACTGAGAAATTCTCTGTTGCAGAGGAAGCTAACTTGCTCTGTCACTTGCAGTCGTCTGCTGCCTAGAGTGATGACGCCAGTTTGGAATTGCTGAGAATATCTTTTAACCACAGTCTCAATATTGCTTCTTGGGTGGGAAGGCTGCATAATGTTTACTGGCTGCTTTTCCGCTTTAAATATATTGTTGTCTAGGTAGCCATATGTAGCAACCCGGCTGTGTTTCTGGAAAAGAAATAGGAATTTTCAGTCTCTAGTGCTACCTTGATGTATTACAGAGCAGCTTTCAGTTGGGTGTGTTTGTCCTTACTGCTGCTTTGCAATTATATGTGAGTTTTATATCCCTCGTTCCCCAAAGCCCTTGTACAAATGGTAGAGAACCAGCTCTGTGCCCCCTGGCATCACAGAGGCAGTGGATAGCCCTGCCTGAGGGGTCTCAACAGGTTGGAGCTGGAACTAGGACCCAGATCTCCTGTTTAGAGCTGCGATTCCCTTGTTTTATAGCACATCTATCTGGGCACTGCAGTACCGTCCGGGAATACTGAATCTAAGTTTGTGTTAGTAGAGCTGCAGTGGTGTGTGACTGTGTATGGGCTAATTTACCCTCTGGAAATAGAGGAAATTAGTTTAGACAGAGCACAACCATGCATAGCCCTATGTGGGTTTGGGATCTGAGCTGCTCTTTCTGCATGGTGCTAAATGGAGCTGGCTGGATGTGCCAACCCACCCAGCTGGCTCAGAGCATTTCTGTACGTTACAAACACACCAGCATGTTCTAAGTGTTACCTCTTCTCTGGGTGATGTATTGTGATCTGGTGTACTGCAGCTCTTTATCATGAATCCACACTAAGTCAGATACCAGTTTGATTTTATTTAGCTTTGAAGGCAGTGCAGGAAAAAGAAGTGTGAATGCCCTTGGGTTTGGGGGCTTCTTGGGAGAGCTAAGCGCAGCTTTGCTTTGGGGAGTGATGAACAATGATCATGTGTTGGTAACATCCCCTTGAGAGGGCAGAAAAAATAGAGGGCGAAATACAGTTCATTCTTTCTTCACAAAATCATTTGAGAAATGAGGAAGCAGGCTCAGAGTTGCATGTAGACTTCACACCCCTTTGTTATTTTCTGCAGTTCGTTACGCCTTGTGACCACAGTGACTGTTCACCAAGGGTCCACACTGTCCAAGGGAATCTTTGAGGGCTAGTCTTCACCACCTTGGAAAGACGGAAGATCTCACCTGGCACTGCTCTGAGATGACACGAAGTTGATGGGTCTCGGTTCAGACCCTGGTGGAATGATACTGGGGATGAATATGTGGAATAACTGCCTGGTGGTGTGGTGCAGCTACTGGCAGTGACTGGAGATGATAGCAGAACATTGCATTGCCAAAAGCACATCAAAAGCTTCAGTCTTTAGAGAGTGGAATCTCAGTTAAAAAGCTGATTTCTAGACAAATAGTAATATTAGTTCTCAATACAAACCATCTAGTTCTGGTTATATTTCATGCTTTTGGGGAAAGCATTTGAGCATTTTGTAGAGACACGTAGGACACCTTGAAAAAAGCTATTAGTTCTTTAACACTGATCTTCGATGATTCAGGAGAAGTTTCTTGGAGATTTGAAACAGAACCATGTCTTTCCATTTTTATATTATGTGGATGTGTTTGTGAGTTGCTCAACACGCAGTCATTGAGATGTGTTACCTGAACTTCTATTTATGTTCACTGGTGTGTCTGTAGTTTTATTTACAACAAAGCATTTGCCAGTAGCTGTATAGAGCAGCAGAGATTTTCTGGCCTAGCAATGAGCTGGGGGAAAACTGAGCAGGGCTCCCTCACCTTTCCATGCCTGGGGAAGCATCTCTGCACATAGATAAGTCTGTGCTGAATCTCTTGACAGAAAGACTTCATATTCCTCCTTTCCCCCTGGGCCTTGATCCCATCCTCTTCCATTAGGTTCAGGTAGTACTGGCAGCATCTTTTCAGTTCGGTTGTGTTGGAAAAAGTTGGTCAGCGCCATGAGAAGAGGTGGTAGATGGTGACATTCTCTCTCTAGAGTGATAGGTTCGTCAATACCTACGTTTAGTAAGCGATCTTTTTCTTACGTCAGGTGGCAAAGCTTTGCTTGCACATGCTTGATGTTCATTTCCCTGTGGATTCCCTTTGGTTTAGCTCTAAGCAGTGCTCTCCCAGGAGGGGCTGATTCCATCATGTGCAAGGTCACCAGTGAAAGGGAAGACCCGCTGCTCATTCAAACTTGGGTTCTCCTGCTCTGTTTCTCTGTTCTTCCTACTGTTTCCAATTATAAAGATCAGCACAGCCACCACGAACTTAGTAGCCAGGAATCCAGCCATGATATAGAAGACAGTGACATCAGCTTCAGGAGGGATGCTATGGGGAACCATAAATACAACAATAAAGCTTAACTATGAAGGGGATGGTTCAACCTTTAAAGAAACTCTTTTAGTACACAATGTGAAGAGGGTAACATCTCCTGCAATAGGCAGTCGCTGTCTGTGCACAACAGAGCCAGGGAGGTTAGAATGACTAGAATAGGTTTTAACTGCAAGATCCCACATACGGATAAATTATGATCTGCAGGAGTTGTTTTGCTTGGCACTGAAGCACTGCATTTCTGGATTAGGATAAAGCTGCTCTTTAGAAACCACACAGCAGCTCTGAGAATTGTCATGGATTAGGAAGAGGTAGAGAATAAGCCTGTGGTGGTATTCCTCAGCTTCAAATGGGGCTGCCAATGCTGATCTGCCTTAGTCTAGGAAGACTGGAGATCACAGCACGCGGAGTTTTATGGCTTACCTGGAGATGCTCTGCACAGCACTAGGCTCCTCTGGCATTTGGGTCTCTAGGACAGCTGATGATAGAAACAGAACAGTTTAGCCTGCAGATATTCATTGGCGTCACCAGCACCAGTGTCCCAGCCAGGCGTAGATAACCAGGGTAAGACTGAGCACTGGGCTGTGTGCTAGGAGGTTAATCTGGGTAGCAATAAGGGGATGACATGTTATATGTCCTGTAACAGTGAGGTCATGTTGCTGTAAATCAGAAACTAAAAAGAGGCAATGAAACACAGTGCCTCCTTAGAATAAGGCAAAAGTAGATGTTTACTGAAGTGAGGCCTTGACATCTGCAGACACACATGAAATTTAAGTAGGAGCTCAGGAACTCATGAGCCTCAGGACGTACCTGTCAGCACTTCCACTTGCACCTTCCTTAAGCTGTTTGTTTCCCCCAGGTAGTCACTTTTGCACTGGTACAACCCAGCATCCTGCTTCTTGAGTCGTTTCATGGTCACTGTCAGGACCCCTTCATGGACATTGTCACTGATGGAGGTGGTGCCATTCCTGTTCTTGAGGAATGGCAGCCAGAAGCGTCGGGCGCTCACCACATGTTGGCACTTGGTCTCATCGATCTGCTTGCACCAGCTCTTTTCTCTCCACCGCTGCTGCCAGGGGTTATAGGTGCAGTTGACAGAAATGGTGCCTCCCTCCATTCCATACACCACAGTGACATTCTCTACAGCACAGGATGCTAGGAGAAAAGGAGAAAGTGGTGAGCCAAGTCTCTTTCATATCTACCCCTTGCCACTATGTTTATGCTAAACGTAATTTTCCTGTTTTACTACTCTAGTGACAGCTGCTGTCAGCTGTAGGGCTGTCACCTGTCTGCTTCCCCCATGAAGGATACAGTGTGCTGATGCTGCTACAGAGTCTTGGTTGAGGCTATCTTGAAATATGTCTGTAGTGATGCCTCTGACTGGTGTGTTATTTGTCTCTTGCCAGGCAAGAAACTTTAGTTTCTATTCTTGTGGGGGGGACTGAGCGAAGCAGGAGGTATCAGCTTCATTAATGTTTGCAGATTTTCTGAAGCTAGGGAAATTTTGTTCCTTGCCTTCCACTCTGTCCCGGTGGTGACTGCTCTGGATTGCAGTTGGGAGCTCAACCACATCACACTTTCTGTAATCATTGGGCTCCTGCCCAGTAAGGGGAGGCAGTTTGTCAGCATGATTAGGGGTTTAAATATAAACTTGCATTTTCCTCTGGTCCTGAGGAGCATGAAGCTAGGCATTCAGGTAGAGACTTGGCATCAGGCAAGCTGTCTTGTTTTTTAAAAGCTTTTTACAAGGCAGCTCATAAAAACATAGCTTGACCCAATAATGACAAATTGTTTCTGTGTAACTCTCATTAGTCTAGTCTTGCTGTAACACCCCTGCTTTGCAACATCCAACCTGCTTACTTCCATACAGCTGCAGCAAGGCAGCTTGCTTCAGGTTTTGGCCTTGAGCTTGGCCCTTCCACATACATTCATAGTTGCAGATTTTGCTCCGGAGTACCCTTTACTGTGGAAAAGGTCCTTTGCAGTAAATGCCCATGAAGTATATCCCCATTTTAACGCTCTCTATACAGTCAGAGAGAAGCAACACAGCCCTGGAAAATGCTAGAATCAGAGTGACACCTACAAAACACTGTCCAGATAGCTTCTTAGGAGGTTACTTCTAAATCCCACTTCTAATTTCTAAATCCATGCGTTTAGCAATTGTTTCACCCTATCATTTAATATTCTACTAATTTTAATCATGTTGACAGCTGGTCTTTGGCTGCTTGCTTTTTTTTTTTTGCCTTAGTTCCTCATTTCTAATTTCCATTCCTCTTTATGGCAGGCAAAGGCAAAAGGGACAGTCTGAGCTATTAATACTTCCAGAGAGAAGTGCAGCATGGTATCTGTGGAAATCTGTATTAAAAGTGAAAAAATTTAGAGGCTAGTGCCTTCTGTGAAACCATAAGGAATGATATAACAAGTAATTTAAAAAATGGGCTTTTGTGAGGACTTTGTGCTGTCTGAGCCTTTTAATAACACTTCTTAAAATAATTTCAACCATTCTGAGTGAAATGTAAACTAAAAAACCTGAAGATCTTTCAGGCTTGACTACAAGAAGGCACAAAAATGGATCTGTGCTCTCCAAGTATCCAACACCTGCAACTCTTCATTCTGATGTGTTGCTCCACTCCTTGTTCCAGTCCAGACTTACCCCAGTGCATGCTTAGTCCAGTCCTGCACAACCCCTCTAAACATTTAAACTCCCTCTCCTATTTCTCTTGTGGACCCCTCCTTGCCCACAGTTCTGCCCCTTCAGTTCCTGGCACGGCCCCAGGGTTTTGTTCTTGGTTTTGTTTTAAATAGAAACAGCGTTGCAAAAAATATCTTAATCAGAATCATGGCATTTAAAGATTTGCTGATGCCCCTGTGGAAAACTTTTGTGTCATTATCTTTTCAACCAATTCTGCTGACAGTTAATTTACTATTTGTGTTCCACCTCCCTTGTTGTGTGCTACCGAAAAAAGTACCATGAACTTTTTTTCAAACTCATTCCGATTTTTGAGACAGCTCCCAAAGCCTGAATCTGTTGCCTTTCCCTGCACTGCTGCAAGTATCAGATCTCCAAAGTGTGACTGGAGAGAGAAGGCTGCCAGCTGGGAGTACCAGCTGGGTCCTGGCCTTGTTTCTCATTTCAAATGAACATTGCTTTCCAAGCTGAAAATAGTCATGTGCCCAAGAGTTCAGAGATGTCCCCTTCATTGAGTTTTATTTTCCTCCTCTTGAACCCTAGCTGCTGCAATTTACATCTGAAGCCGTACAAATGCAAAAAATAGGATTTTGCAATTTCATGTTTCACTCTGAGAAGGCACACAAGACTTCTGTCAGCAATGTTTCTTGTTCTGACTCAGAAGGATCCCTGTGAGAAAAGCTGAAGCACTCGGATCACTGCTGGCCCTTTGTTAAATTAAGGGAAAAGAACAAACTCCAAGGAAGCAGTCTGACATCCCTGCAATATAATTGGGGAGGAAGAGTGAAATGCAGAACACCCTACAGTGCTCCAGGTTCCCTCTGCTTGCATTGCATTGGACCTTGCAGTCCAGGACAGGCAGCAAGACTCTTTATCCATAATAAGTGTTTGTATTGGTCTTCCGAAGAACTTCATGCTACAATGAAGATGTCTTTGCATCCAGAAAAAGCTACTATGTGTCAAGACCTGTGCAGTCTTTTCTCATAGCATTATCAGTAGTCTCATCAGAGGTGCAGGTAGACACTAAGTTTTGCACCAATCCTTTACCCTATCTATTAACTGAAACCCAAGGCCGTGAACGCTTTCTTACCTGACAAGAAGACCAAGAAGATGAGGTGCATGAGCTTCTCCATGTCAGCTGAGTAGAGAAGGGGGCAAGAGAGGAGTCTGAAGAAAAGTGAAAAGGGCTCTTGGCCAAGAGCAGATTGCTTTTCCCCCCTCCTTGGTCTGCCGGAAGGAATGAGCACAGGAACTTGGCATCTTTTTTGTCCTGTATATTGAGCAATTCACCAGGGATGGGCACTTCTTTTGTGGGTTGAAAATTCAGGCATCAGCATTGCCCACTCACAGCAACAATTTAGTCTAGACAGTCTGAAAGAGAGCATCATGTGATGGCCTGAAACCATGGTGCTGGGAGTCCCTCTCAGCTCAGCAATGGTGTCTGCCCACCAGAGCAGGCTTTACATGCAAGCTTTGCATGGGCTGAATTTCTGGAAAGCTGGAAAGGGAAGGGTGGCTCACATTGAGACTCTGCAGGTAGCTCAGTCAGCATCACAAGGGTGAAGGGAGGGCAAGGACATAATCTTGGGGTTTATTTTTGGGGGAAAGGAGGTGTAGAAGAGCTTGTGCATGAAGCATTCATGTTTAACCTAGAACCAAGGACAGGAGGACAAGAACACCGTGCTGTCTGAAGCTGTGAGGCGCTTTAGATGAGCAGACCAGACATCTTTATTTTGTACCTAGCAGAAAGGACGTAAGATCAAGGGATGGGGGCATGGCTTCAGAGCCAGTCAGTGCCACACTGATGCAGCAGTTCAGGACTGCAGTTAGGGAGCTTCCTACAACATTAGCAGACTGGTAAGCTGTGAATGGGTTGCTGTTTTTTCTTTCCTGAATTTATTTACTTGGAGATCTTCCATGCAAGTACAAATAGACCCTGGCTTCTTAACTTGTGTGCTTATCTGCTTCTTAACAGGCAGATAAACCTGCAGGTCTATCCATTCTTAAGTGTGTCTTTGTTTTCTTTCCTTTTAATTAGTGTTTAAGAAAATGGTACCTAACAATATCCAGAAATTCTCTGTGAGGCTTACTGATTGCAGTTTTTGTTCATTCTTGCTCCAGTGAACACAAATCTGGATTCTCTTTGATCAGAAGCAATTGTCTCCCTGAAAATGTCTCTCTTGAACTCAGTTGTTTTCTACTACTACTCTTCCACTGTTTGACCCAGTGTAACTGACTGCATCAATAGCAAATAGGGGAATCTTGGGCTGAATGAAGCATTTCCAGAACCATTTTCTTTTTCCTTCTGTCATTTCATACATGTCAACTCTGAAAATGTCAAAAAATACATCAGCTTCCCTGCTGCAGCCACAGCAATTGAAGCTTATTGGATGTGACTGGCTTGTGAATAGGGAGTCTTTCAGGCCCCTCCAATCTGCCAGCTGTCTGCAGGACTTGGTGCAGCCAAATAAAGTGCCAGGGTTTTTGGTCTTTTGGAGAAATTGAGCTGAGCCCCAGCAAACTCATTTCATATTGCTCACCACATGACTGCTAAATGAAGGCAGCAAATGTGTCATTTGGAGTATTTCCAGCAGAGAGGGAAGTAATGGTATCAATTTCCAAGGCCCTGGTGAGCTCTCCCATGAAACTGCACATGCATTTCTGGTTGCCTGTGACTTTAGAAGCAGCCACAAAAGCTTGCTTTCTATGGTGTAACCAAAAAAATAAAAAGTGCTGGAAGTAGGCACATTGGCTTGCATTGGTCTTCCAAGAACTTCACAAAGAACCAGCTGCACTGGTGAGTAGGCTGGGAAGAGCTGTTTAAAGTACAGCATGGTGCTGCAAATGAACAGAGCTACATCTGAGACTAGCTGGATAGTGATTCCTGAAGAGATGCAAAGATGCCTCATAATAATGAAGGAGAGAGACCAAGTGCAGTGGAAAAACATGTTTGATAGTTTATGGTGTGATTATTCAGGATAGTAGGGTTTGATGAGGTCCTAGCCAGTCTAGTGTTCCTGTGGCAGCTCTTGGAAATTGCCAGCCTGCATCATAGCAGCACTGGAGATCCGTAAATATATTGTGTGTCTGATTTACTTGGACGTTTACATCTGTAAATAATCCACTCTTAATTACCACTGTGTCCCATCTGTTTTAGCAGCTGATGTTGAGACCAGCCCTCTTATGCTCATACTTCTTCCTCTGTTGTCTGTGTAATACTTCCTGCAGCTTCACCACACAGCCTACCAGCTTCTTCCTCTGTGCTACAGTCCTTCCTCATGTCTGTCTCTGGGTTTGCCCTTGCAGTTAGCACAGCAAGGCAAATTCTGTTCAAAAATATCCCAGTGCCCTGTCCACTTCTCTAGTGCAATACCAGATATTGTTCCCTTCTTTCCTTTCTCCAGAAATACTCATTTTTGGTTCTCCCTGCTTGTCTTGATTACTTGATTCCTTGGTTTAAGCAGCCCGTTTGCATGTTCTTGAGGAACAATGGGTGTAAGAGAGCAGGCCAGCCAGAAGTTGTTGCACAAAGTAAGGGCCTTTGATTAGGAGGTGGTGAAGGGATGGGGCAGTCTGCACAAGCTACACATGGGAAGCCGTGCCTGTAACTTCAGATTTCAGCTGCTGCTTCATTCTGTTTTCAGTGTGCAGGCCTCAAAGACTGCATAAATGTGCTGTGGCTGTGGATGACCCTGAGAGAAAATTTAGCCCTCAAGTGTGGAAATAATTCAGTTATCTAGAGGGTACAGTGCTGGAGGCTCTTGCTAGTGTAAGCCACAGCAGCCGCACGAATCCGTCCCACAACCCTCTGCACTCTGTAAAGGGACACTTGTACATGCACTCTATTTCTCAGTCTGAAGCTAAACATTTAGCTTTAGTTTGAAAGCCTCTTACCATCTTACTTCTTACCTAAGAAGACTGATAAATTTAGGTTATAGGGGAATTTGCATGAAGTCTCAAAAACTGTACGTAGTACTTACATGCGCTGTTGTTGTTTTGTAGCTACAAGACCTTCTGGTGCTCAGACTCATACAGCACAATCCTCAGTTTGCAAAGTTTGCAATGCAGCATATCATTGTGTTGCAATACCACCCTCAAGCTATTTGCCTTCAGGTAGATGCTGGTTCTGCTTATTCCTGTAATCCAGTGCTCATATCCCCCACCCATTACCTGGCAAATGAACCCAGTCACAGCAAGGTTAGAATTTTATCCCTACAGCACTGGAATGAGTTTGCTTGGCCATAGTAGCTGAACCCTTAGGACTGGGATAGAGTTTCTACGAGTGAACACAGTTGAAACACCAAACCCATCCATGTCCAGATGAATATTGCTCTTTTTCAAAAGGTCAGTCCTCCACACCTGCCTCACCAAAAGAGTCTGCATTTTAATGGACTTGAAGAAAGCAGATGTGCAAGGGATCCTGAGAATGACCCAGCACCTCTGTCTGACCTGAGAGAGTCTGTACACTCGTGGCAAAATTCTCTACTGGCCTCTAATAGGAGGGAGGTCTTAAAATGCATAGGCAACATACACAGGGCAGCAAAAGCTTAGATCTTTCCCCAGTGTCCGTCCACACACCTTCTCCGCCCCATTCCCACTTTGTATTCCAGTTCTTTTCTCCCATTTCTGGACTGTTTTGGGATTCTGTGCTTCATCCTTTGTCATTCGTTGGTAACTGCTTAAGTGCAATGATAGCATATTCCACATTTTCATCTTCGGGTTTGCTGTGAGTCTGACTTGGTTCAACATTGCAGTAGAGAGCATCCTCAGGGCTGAGTTGGGATTTAAAGTTCAGGGTAACATATTTTAGGTCGTTGCTGTCATCCTTGGAACTTTCCATTCTTTCAGTGCTGTCAAGCTATGAAAAGAAAGGGAAAATGCTTGTTAGCATGACTCAGTGCCAGGCCACAGCTGTTATCAAAAGAACAAGATTCTCCCAGGAGGAAAGGAGAAGCCATGTAAAAACTTACCTTTGGTCATGCCAGAGGTGGAAGAAGGGAAAACTCTTTCCTTCATCCCCTCTCCTTGTTACAGGTTACAACCTCATTGTCTAACCTTGGTTTCTAGTCTTTGCGTAATTTCTCAGAGAATTTGCCTCACTCTGTTTTTTTCCTTCTGGAGTTCCCTTACATTAATTCCCCGCTCTCTCTCCATCTGGGAATGTTCCTCTCTCTGGTGACATTAAATACTATTTCCCCTTCTGCTCACAACCAAAAATGAGCACCGATGTCCTCATCAGATGGGTCAGCGAGCTCCTCACAGACTATTGGTAAGGGATTCAGGTACCGTATGGGAAATCTATTGTTTTCCTTACCTGTGTTATGTCCTCTGGTTTCTCATAGATGTCCTCTGCTTGTCTGGTACCTTTGGAATGAGCCAAAATCAGAGGTTTTAGAAGTAGAGAAGTCCATGAATTGCCTGGGCATTGCCTATGCTTCAGGAGTTTTGAGAAAGGCTGTGGGGTTGCCCAGTGATAGAAGCACTGGGTGTGCCAGTGGGACCCATCTACCCTGAATCTACTGAACACATTGCTCTCACTTTAATTCTCCTCTAACATGTTAGGAGGTGTCCTGTGCAGAATCTGGAGGAACATGTGTGTGACTTTCTGTGAGAGGAGATCACAGCAAGGAGCCTGCCTTGAGGCTTTCCAGGCTGCACCTGCCTTGTCTTCTCCAGGGCACTGTGAGTTGGAAATAAGCTCGCCTGGAGTGGAAAAGTGATGGCCAGAGAAGGCCCTGTTTAGTACAGTCTAGAGCATGAGGCATCACCAGTCTCCACATACCTCTGCTCTTCAGCTGCTTGCGCCGCCAGACACACAGTGTTATCAAGATGATAAGTGCCAGGATGAACAGGATGCTCAGGACCCCATAGCGTAGGTTGAAGATGTTTCCATTTGAGCTGAAGCCAGGAGAGCAAAGGAGTTACCAGTGTTAGATGGTAGCACAGCATGATGCTGGCGCAGCCCATTGCCAAACAGTGACCAGGAAAAAGGGACAGGAATAGCTTTTATGCACTGGCACTTGGAAGTAGGGTCTGGTTCTCCTGCAGAAATGCTATCCTGATTTTTCTACCTGGCTGTGCCTTCTGGGCTTCTCCTAAACTACTCTCTGGGATTACAAAACAAGCCACTGTTCAAAGCTCAGAGCACAATTCCAGGCTCTCTGGAGCTGGTACTGCCTTTTCCTCTTGTGTTTTGCTGCACCTGGCCCACTGGAGCTGATTGTGCTCTTAGGTGCTGCTGTAGTGTTGATGACAGCAGATGTCCAAAGGGGAAGAAAATCCTTTACATTTAACAGCCTGGTAAATAGAATTATAGAATCATAGAATCATAGAATGCTTTGGCTTGGAAGAGACCTTTAGAGGCCATCTAGCCCAAGCCCCCTGCAGGGAGCAGGGACACCTTTAACCAGATCAGGTTGCTGACAGCCCCGTCCAGCCTGGCCTTGAATATTTCCAGGGATGGGGCCTCCACCATCTCTCTGGGCAAGAATTTCTTTCTTATATCCAGTCTAAATCTACCCTCTTTTAGTTTAAAACCATTACCCCTTCTCCTGTCACAACCGGCCCTGCTAAAAAGAATAAAGTAGCAGCTAAGGTCTATATCATTATTAAATATTCATGGACAGGAGTGAGAATAGTCCAGACAGAAAGGCTCTGGGGCAAAATGTGGGGGTTTCTATTGCTGCAAAGAGCACGGCCCAAACAGATAGGGATAGAAAAGTAAATAGGCATGTACATTCCAGAAAGCTGTGACTCGATGTATCAATCTGCTTCTTCCTTTGTAATTACACTCTGGGCAGAAGCTGGAAGAGGAGAGGGTATCTTTGGTAAGGATGACTGTCATATCTAATTCCTCTGTGAGCAGGAGTCTTCAGAATGCCCAGACACTGCCTATCCCGGGAAGACAGGCATATTGTGGATAAGACATTAATAACTATTGTGTGTGTTCAAGCTCAGAGACTTTTGCTCACCCTTACCTGGGTGGTGGGGTGTTGCCAGAAGGGGTAGACTGACTGCAACCTGCAGCGCCTGACAAAGTTGTTCCAGCCGATACTGCAATCACAAACACAAAGAGAAGAACAATCACTACTGGGCTGCTTTGCATTTACCAGCTACATTTCCCTGCCACGGCTGCGTGGACATAAACGCGCTCCCGCTGTGACACCAGCACAGACAAGCTGCCCAGGCTGTAACCTGTGTCACCAAGGCTTGCTGGCAGCAGGCAAAGCGACATAAGGATCAAAACGAGGGAGGGGGGATGGACAAGGATGTCAGGAGGAGCCCCGCTCTGTGTGTGCCCACGCCGAGGCATGGCAGAAGGAGGTGCTGTAAGTGCAAGCAGGTATGCCCCATGGCAAAGGTCTTCAGGTAGCAATGAAGGACTTGACGACCCTGTGCCTAATCAGCCAGAGGCTTGCCCAAGAAAACTAAGGAAAGAGCAGTGGAAGGACTGAGCAAACTAAGGACTGAGCTGTAAGAATTGCTTCCAGGACTGTTCCTGTGCCCCGGGGGACGTTGTGTGTGCAGGAGCCTGCTCACTTAGGGGCTGCCTGCAGTCCCCCGTGTTAGGATTCTCTCCTAGAGAATTATGCCATCCCCTCTCATCTTCTGCATTGCCACATCCCTTCAGTGCTGCTCTGCCAAATTCCAGACAGACGGGCTGCAGCATGGTGCTGCTCTGCCACAACCGGCTACCTAAGTGTTACCACGCAGCGCTAAAACTTCACGCTGGAAGAAAACCTAGGAGTCACAGATCTTTCCAATATGGGTGTAGAGGTTGTCCTCCCGGCAAGCACACGGGAAGGTCTTCAGAGTCTTTGCAAGCCAAGGGATGGGTTGCTGTAAAGGGGCAGAACTGGTATCATGGCAAGGAGGGACAGCAACAGCTCTGTGAAAACGACTGAGGCTGCTCTTGGGTGCAAGAGAAGCAATACAGCCCATGCCTGGGGTTCAGTTCTGATCCCTGTTGCTATTCCGTAGCATGGCTGGTGTGAGAAGGTACGGTGACGTTGGGTTTGGGCAGGGAAACGCGTG